ATAAGTATTTAAATAGAATATTTGAAATAGATTTGAAAACGTGTGTAATAAATAAGTATCTATAAGTTAATAGAAAGAAAATCTTAAAAAAGTTAAGTACGTGCTTCCAATGAAGACTCAAAGAGAGAAAGAAAAAATGAACGAATGAAAGAAAGAATGAAAGAATGAAAGATAGAGATTATGAAAATGAGAATGAGAATGAAAGTTTTTTTGAAGTTTCAAATAAACAATTTTTCATCTTATTCTTATACTTGAGTAGCAAAATATAGGAAAATTGCATCGAGATTACCGGTAAACGTGCCACACCCGGTTCGCGAACTGAACCAAAAAAAAAACAAAAAATGAGGAAAAGAGTAAGAGTAAGAGAGAGAGAAAGAGAGAAAGAGAGAGAGAGAGAAAGATTCAGGAAGAGAGATTTAACTTGAACGAGCAACGGTGCTCTCATTTTCTGGGTCACGAGAATCTTAATCCTTAAGTCTGTAGGCTCGATTCACCAACGAAACGATACAAACACAACGTTTCGATCGCATTCTGTTACAACCAATGAGATTTTAGAAAGTCCCTGAAACAACCATCATCTTTCTTCTTTTTTCTTTCTTTCTTTTTCTTCTTACCTATGTAATACCTATAAAAAAAAGAGAGAGAGAGAGAGAGAAAATAAGATTTTCCATTGAAAATTGTATGTTAAGATATGTTAATTCGTTCACCAATTTTAACATTTAATAGCCGTTTCATTCCTTTTATTTCTTTTTCCTTAACCCAAATGGGGTTTATCCTATTTTTTTTTTTTTCTACACTCCCCCTGTGTGTTACTCGGTTTGTTAAAGGAAACAACGCGAAAAAAGAAATAAAATCAAATAAAATAAAAGTCAACCAACCGAGTTAGAGTAAATTTAAAACGGTGAATTGGCTTATCTTATCGCGTTAGATTTGATATTTACGTTGCCTTTCATTTTCCAGTATGTAAATCGGTTTAATCGTATAATAGTTACAGACCAACTTACAAATGGGAACAAGTATACCGGATTATAAAATATTTTTTTCTTTTTTATAGTATTGTAAATTATTATTTAATAGGTTTTATACAGGATCTAGTATTTAAAAGTATTCAAAGTGTCGTAATTAATCGATTAAATCATATTACACTTAAATTCAAAAATTTTATTCAATGATAAACGCTTAGTATCAAATATATAATAATTGTTTCAAATTCAGAAATAATGTTTTGATGAGAAATTGATATAATAAATAAAAAATATATAAATAATATAAATAAATGAATCAAATTCAAATAAGTGTGTTGTATAATAGTTACAGACCAACTTACAAATGGGAACAAGTATATCGGATTATAAAATATTTTTTCTTTTTTATAGTATTGTAAATTATTATTTAATAGATTTTATATACACACACACAAGATCTAGTATTTAAAAGTATTAGAAGTGTCATAATTAATCGATTCAATCATATTACACTTAAATTCAAAAATTTTATTCAATGATAAACGCTTAGTATCGAATATAATAATTGTTAATTTTGATGAAAAATTGATATAATAAATAAAATAAATAAATGAATGAATTTCAGATAAGTGTGTTGGGTTAATATATATATATATATATTGAAAAAATGTTAATAATTATTATCACAAGTATTAATATTCGTTTTAAGATAATAAATGATTGCATTTACAGGATAGGGCGTTGAACGTATCGGAAAGATTCACGTCTACGACCACCTTGACTGTGAACATCAGAGATGACGATGATCAAGATCCATCGTTCATCTACCAAGGTTGCATGCTGTTGGATGGCGCCTGCATTAATCCAGAATACTCGGCATCTGTACGCATTATACATACGCATACATCTTGATAACGATCTACGTATGAGGGGGAAATAGGGGGGAAACATATTTATTTTTTATTTTATTTTTATTTTTTTTTTATTTTTTTTTATTTTGTTTTGTTTAATTTCATTTCATTTATTTCTTCAATCCTGTCAGAAGAGATTTATTCTTTCCTCAAAGAAATTTAAATTAAAAAAAATCTTAGATGCACTTAATTTTATTTTAGAATTAAAATAGATTTGTATATATATTTTTTATATTATGAAAGATAATATTAAACTCAAGAATAATATATGATATATATATATATATAATGTGTAAAAAAATTAAATTTGACGTGTGTTTTATCAAATCGTGAATTACAACTTAATTTTATTTTATAATTAAGACAAATTGAAGATACGAGAGATAATATTAATAATAATTTTTCTGAATATATTATAATTTTTTATACTAGGAAAGATAATCTTTAATTTGAGAATAATATATTACATATGTAATGTTTAAAAAATTAACTTTAACGTGTGTTTTATCAAATCATGGATTACAACTTAATTTTATTTTATAATTAAAACAAATTTAACATACGAGAGATAATCTTAATAATAATTTTTCTGAATTATAATTATTTTATACTACGAACGATAATTTTAAACTCGAGAATAATATATTATATATTTAATGTGTAAAAAAAAAGCTATAACTTTGTATTCAATTTATAATTAACAATTGTAAATAATTTAATAGGTATCAAGTGGAGTATTGTCTGGTATATTGAACATATCACCGGAGAAAATTCAAGCAGTTGACATGGACAGCATAAATGCTCCAATTCATTATTCATTTCTCAGTGGAAATCCAACGAATTATCGTGATTTTTTCGAGATCAATCCTAACACAGGTGCTGTAAAACAAATCAAGGCTGTTGATACTTCGGTAACGAAAAAATTCGACATAATAATCAAGGTTAGAAACAAATATATTAGATCTATCGTAAAGTTCTGTCCATTTTTAGAATCAAACAAAAGTCATCAATTTTTTATATTATCTCTTTAATTTGATTAATATTTATCAATTATCATTATTTATAATTTCTTATCATAGTGTGCATTTAAAAAAAAAAATGTTTTATCCTTAGAGACGAAAAATTGAACTGGTGTTTGTCAAAATGGACAGAACTTTCCGGTAGACTTAATACATATTGATTATAATAATACAATCAATCTTTTTTCCAATAACGTACATAATCTAATATTTCTAAATACATTGGATATATATATATATAATAATAATTATTATTATTATATATATATTATAATTACTACTATATATAATATATATATTATAGTACTATATATTATATATTACTTATATACTATATATTATACTATTATATTATAATATATATATTATAGTTACTAATATTATTATATATATAATATGTAATAATTTATATTAATATTATTAATATAAATATAAATAATATTATTAATTAATAAATAAATTATATATATATATATATATATTATACTACTATATATTATATATTACTTATATACTATATATTATACTATTATATTATAATATATATATTATAGTTACTAATATTATTATATATATAATATTGTAATAATTTATATTAATATTATTAATATTAANTATAAATATATATTATAAAATATATATTATATATTATAGTATATATAATATATTATATTATATTATATATATATATATAAAAATTTATTATATATTCTATATATAATTAAATCGACGCTAATACAAAAAGATAATATATTTATATGTATGTGTGTGTGTGTGTGTGTGTGCATGTGAAGAATAAGAAAAAGGAATCAGTATAAGGAGAGAAGCTGCATGATAGTAATTTTACATGCTTTAATAATCGATTATCATGTTCGATACAGGCTGTTGAGGTGTCGGAAGCAAAACGATCTGCCACGGCGAAGCTGATAATCACGGTTAAACCGGTCGACAGCAATCCTCCGGTGATCACAGCTTCGAACAACGAGGGTTTTGTCGATGAGAATGCACCAGTGGGTACAAAGGTCATCGATAAAAATGCCAAACCAATAACACTCACCGTATCCGATGCAGATCTGGTAAGTTTTAGTATTACTGTTATCTTTCTTTCATTATTATTTTCTTCTTTTCTTTCTTTCTTTCTTTCTTTCCTTCTTTCTTTCTTATTTTCTACTTAGTTTGCAAACGAGAATTCAACGAACCGTGAAGTAGCTGTCGTTTAATGTTTTCTAATTTTTAATTTGTTTAGTTTTTTTTTTTTTTAACTTTCTTTCATATCGTGTTCTTATGTGAATATTGTTACGTCATATGTCTTATTATTTTTTTTTTTTTTTAAACCTTTAAATGTGTGGCAAAATACTCATCATGCCGCTTTATATATATAATATTTTTTGTATATTTTATATTTTATATAAATATTATTATTATTATATTATATATATATATTATATTATTATGTTATTATATTATATTATATTATACATATTTATTTATAATATATTATATATATTATATATATATATATATATATATATTATTTTTTATTATATATACATCTTTTTTTTTATTTTATAATTAAATTTTGTAATTTTAATATTTTATATTTTATTTATATTATTAATATAATATATAATAATAATTATATAATATAATAATATAATATATAATAGAAGAAGAAGAAGTAGTTTATTTTCAAGTATACCCCTTTAGGGTGTTTACCCCGAAGGCCCCCCCCCCTACATGTTCGTTCCCCTTGACAATATACTTAATTCTAATTATGCCCTAATATAATATTAGCTATTAATATTACAATATACAAAACAATATAAAACAATATAACAACATTCAACCATATTCCTTATTTGGTAACTATATATATAATATATAATAATATAATAATTATATTTTTTTTTTACTTTATATTATATATATATATATATTATACGAATATAAAGGAAAATAAAACAAAAATGTATATAGAAAGATAATATTTGCTTTATTTAAGGAAATAATAGTTGATTTATCAAATTATTTATATCAAATGTCGGATAAACATTGAAACAATACAAATTTGCAATGATATACGTTTAGAAATACGATTTTCTTATAGTAAAACCACTATAGTAATACTCTGTATTTAGTTTGATAATTTATGATTAGTAATTGAATAATTTATTTAAAGAAAAATAATGTATATATATATTATAATTTATATATAATAAAATTTAGAAAAATATAATTTTCTTATAATAATAAAGTCACTATATTGGTACTCATTTTACGTCATTTTAGTAGCATTTAATAATAGTGACGAGTTACTCTTGTTTAAGAGTAATTTTCTCGTGTTAAAACGTTAAAACGATCTTACTTAGAATTAAGAAAACAAAAAAAAGTGAAAGTAAATCTTGAAAAACGATGCTTGAGTAATCATCCTCGTCATCATCATCATCATCATCATCATCATCATCATCATCATCCTATTTAGATATACCGTGTGTTGTATATACACTTACACGTTGATTATTTCGATTGTTTCTTCAGAAACTTTGAGAAACTGAACGTGTATATCTCTTTCTACGAACTATCTCATTTTAACGAGAATGTTTCTCATATACTACATATGTAACTTATGGTTGTGACGTAAAAATGAAAGATGTTTTGTAATTAGAGCGACACGTTCATAGCTCTGCTAAAAGATTCTCCTTTCTAATTCTATGATTCTTCTTGTGAGAATAAAACATAGAACTTTATAACAAATTTAAACGTACAGTTTAATTGAAAATCACAATAGTGGTTTTTTTTTTGTATCACAAATTGATATATTCGAATGCCACTTTATTGGTTTTTTTGTATCACACAATGACTTATTAGAATGTTACTGTTGTAACTTTTTGTATCATCGATTGATTTATTCTAACGCCACTATAATCGTGTATTATTGTTAGAAAAATTTCAAACGAATTTATTTATATACTAAAATATAATATTACAAAATTCTTTTAATGATCAATAACGCATTTTGTTTATAACAAAACAAAAAAAATATCTACACACCTAATTATTTTTTCAGTTAACAAATATTTCTGATTATTTAATTGTGTAATATTTTCTTATAACATATATATATATATATATATATATAAGATATAAATTTATATAAATATTAATAATATATAATATAACATAATATAATATTTACAATATAATAAAAGTAATAATATACAATATAAATATAATATAACATAATATTATTATTTAATTAAATAAATATAATAAAAGTAATAATATACAATATAAATATAATATACCATAATATTATTATTTAATTAAATAAATATAATATAAATATAATATANGAAATTTTATTTTACTTTGAAACTGTATAAATGGTTGGTTTTTTTATTTTGCACAATTTACTTTTGAAAATGTTAATTTTTGTTTCAAAATGGACACAAACTTTTGATTGATTTTAATATTCATTTATGAATGAAGAAGATAACTTCACTTTACTTTTCATTGATTTTTGTCACAACGAAGATTTATAAATATAATACTTGAATTAATAATAATCTCGCGTGACGATTACAAAACTAGTTATATTCTTGGTCATTGCCACCGTGCATCTTAGTTTCTTAGATGTATTGTTTTTTTTTTCCTCTTTTTCCATTTCTTTTTGTTTTTCTTCTTTTAAAAGTACTTCTAACGGTAAAAGGAGTCCACGGTTACCGCCCTCGAGCACGCAACGTTTCCCCGTTTAACACGACGATTCCAGTAGGACGAGTGAAGTATTATATTTCTTTTTTTTACTCTATGTATGTGTGTGTGTGTGTGTGTGTGTTTTATCTCACTAAAAGATATTACGAATAGTTGGGATAAATTTATTTATATTTTTAAAGATACTTTTTAGAGACTTATTAAATGAAAAATAAGACACAAAGTAATACAACGAATGTTTGCAAAAAAAAAAAAACAAAAACAAAAACAAAAAAAAAACAAAAAAAGTAAAAAATAAAACAAAATGTGTGAATCAGTTTAGTCGTATTTGGAATCATCGTATCACTGAGTACGAGGATTATAATCGATGATCATAATATACAGATGGCACATAACAGAGAATAGATGATAACGTTGCATACAATTACATAGGTGAAACGCATCACTTATATGCAATGTATAGTACAGTAGAATCACATTTCGCATTGTAGCGAAACGCGCGTACGTTGCAAGGCAATTTCGCTCGGCAAGCTTGCAAGATTGCAAGATTGCGTTTGGTAAAGCAGTAGTTGTAACATAACCAACAGGGTTGTGGTAGTGGGGTTGCGTTGCACCAGTTTGCAAATGCTACAGGAGACGAGATCGATATCAAAGAAAGGTACAAATCAAAAACTGGCCGGTTAGAAACGGCGGATGTCATTAAATTATTCCTCCAGGGAATTTACAGGGGAGGAATAAATCTTTGTGAAAAGATGATTCAATATGAATATATATATATATATATATATATATATATATATATATATATTTTTATATTATTAGTATTAGAATAAATAAATTTATATTTAATATATAATACTATATATTACTATATATAATATTTAATATATAGTATAATACTATATACTACTTTATATATAATATATATAATATATAATAATTATATATATATATATATTATACTACTATATTATAATATATATATTATAATTACTAATATTATTATATATATATTAATATTATTTCGTATAATATTTAATTTAATTTATTTTCTTTGTTTTGCGTATAAAAACAAATTATAAGATTATTATTACAAATTTATTTATGACCTGGGGAAATATAATGAAAGAAATTAATGGTTAAGGGAGGAAGGGAGATTCTTTGAATCGTAATCGAAGATTACAGCCATCGGCCAATTTGAAATAACTTTAGCTGATATTAGAGATAATCCATTATCCACGTTGCATTAAATTATATCGAATTGCATTAAATTGCATTTGTACTTTTTTTATTTTTAATGTTTCTCTTTCTATTTTTCTTACACCTGTACTTTTCAAATCAGATATCATCGTTTCTTTTTTCTTTTAAACGTATAATCAAAACCGTTTGTTCGTTTGTATCGTTAAAAATAAAAAATCATTTGGAAATGTTCATCGTCACGGAATCTTTGAGAATAATTCGTTTGAAGAAGTTGAATTTAAAATCGAATTAAAAAAAAGAAAAAATAATAATAATAATAATTCCTATAGAAATTCTTGTAATATTCGAAATAATTCGTTACAGGTATGTGATTCTCGTTTTAATATTACGAGATAAATCATATTTATTTTGACGTTGAAAAAAAAAAAAAAAAAGGATTTTTTCTTCATTTCGCTTCGTTTCTCACAGTGATTCCGTGTTTTTCTGGTTGAAAGACGAACGCATTGCCGTAGCTCGCGGAAGCTCGGATGTTAGATTTAGGATATGGTCGAACGATTTCTAAAGAAAATTTATTTGCGATAGATTCGCTCGGTTAAATCCAACTTACATGCATAAAATGGGTAACAGTATACATTTGTCTTACTAACTCCCTCTCTCTAACTCTCTATCCATTCTTTTATTATATTTCAATAAATATTACATTTTATCAAATTATATTTTGTATTTTAATAATACAAATTTAATTATTAAATTGAGAATATTACGATGATAATTGTTATGAAAGTATTTCTAAAAATGAAGTTATACAATGATAAGTACCTAAATACAATATTTGGAATAAGTTTGAAAACGTGTATAATAAATAAGTATCTATAAGTTAATAGAAA